ACACACACACACACACACACACACACACACACACACACACGGTATACATATCCTTATGGGGACCGCTCATTCAATTCAATGGGAAAAATGCTAACGCTAACTATGACAACCTTAACCCCTACCCTGCCCTAACCATAACCATAAGTAACCAAACAAAATACAAGAGTTTTTGCATTTTTAGTTTTTTCATAGCAGTCACCGATTTTTATAAAATAGAGTAATAAAAAACAGATATTTAACACGTTATGGGGACATTATGTCCCCATAAGGATAGGTAAACACGCTCGCACACGCGCACACACACACACACACACCTTTGTGTGGACTCCCAATTAATTTCTATGGGCAAAACCCTAATCCCCACTATGACATCCGTAACCCCTGCACGGCCCTAGCCTTAAGCATAACTAACCAAACAAAATACAAGACTTTAGCTATTTTAGCTTTTTGATGGCATTCACAGATTCTTATAAAACTTCAGGTTGTCTTTGCGGGGACCGGAAAAACGTCCCCACAAGGAAGAAAGTTAGTTTTTATCACATCTGGGGGAAACCTGGTCCCCACAGCATATTTACAAAACCGCCCACACACCTTGCAGAGCCTTGAAGCCCTGCAGCGGGACCCGTGACGAGCCGGTGACAAACTGCAGCAGGCGAGCCCGCCTCTCTTCATCATAAGACTCGATGGCGCGCCAGAACCAGCGCACGATGTTGCTTTCGGCCGTGCAGTGCTTCAGCCGCGTGTTGGCCTTCCAGTCGCTGACATCGATCTTGCCCAGACCGCAGACAATCAGCTGGCAGAGAAGTAGGGAGCAAGACATATGTCAAGACTAGGCCCGATCACATGACCACTGCATGGCATCATGGGAAATTTACAAAGGCAGGTCACAGGGTCGCCAACTTAGGTCAGCAGACTGGAGTGAGACTGTCAATTTGAGACAAGTCTGCGCACACATTTACATTTGCTGTAAGATTTCATGCGTGAGCGTGAGAGTCTGAAAGCCTGAGCGTCATGCCAGATGCGTGAGAGCTGGTAGCCTTGTGGTTAGCTGGAAGTGTCTCACTCTGTGATATACATCAGGCAGACACAGTAAATGGAGGTGTCCTGTACCTCCAGCTCCTTCTCGTCGAAGGGCTTCAGCAGATGCTGGGGGATGACCTCATGGAAGCCTTTCTGCAAGGCCAGGAACTGAGCCTCAATGCCGCGCAGAAACCTCCAGCTGACGTAGAGCCTGTGGGATAAGGAAGCCACAAGAAGGGCAGATAGTCACTCCAAGCCGTGGAGAAAGGCTCTGCGTATACAGAGAGCAGAGACGACAAAACAACAAAAGCCTTGTTATGGACCTTGTGTTCAACACATGTTTCTAGAGCATGTGGTTGTTCAGCCATTTTGTTTATTTCCCTTTTAGTTCTCCATCAGGCGGCTGAAAGGAATTTGTGCCTTCAGGTCTGGCTGCGGTGTACAGCCATCGCGCCTAGCGACGGACGGAGCCCTCACCTCACATACTCCTTCTTATTCTCCTCGTTGACGGGGATGCTCTTTCCGTTGGGCTTCAGCTCATGCTGCACGATCTGGCCGTAAGCGCTATGCTCCACGCAGAAGGTGTGGTCCAGCACGCCTGTGATGTCATTGTCACTGATTGAGGAGGAGAGATGTCCCGTCAGGTGACACAGCGGCCCGAGTCAGGGAGTAGCTCAGGAGGGAGGAACGAGTGAGCGAAATCAACTGCACTAACTAGGGTGGTGTGTAAAAATAAAGGGGTTGAAGCCACCGTTTTCCCTCTGCACTGGGGAAGGGCACTTCATGTGCTGAATTTATTTGCTAGCTTGCTTGCCATGCATGCATACATACATACATACATACATACATACATACAAGATAAAATGCATCGCATTGTTAGTTATGGATTTCCAGTACCCCTTGTACAATTTATGGTTTAATCATGTGAATGCTGCTTGAAATAATGTTTAGCTGCCCACCCATTAAGATGCAATGGGGGCTAATTCTGTGCAATTCAGTTTTCAAAACAATATTGTAAAACGACAAAAAGTATGTTAGTGATTATGGGCAAGACCGAATGACTGCGAAAGAGCAGTGACGATACCCGTCTGGTGTGACGTCAGCTGGGGCAGAGACTGTAAGGGG